TTCAGACTAGTAGACATTGTGCGCCATTACCGCGGCTCGATAATGAGCGACAAGTATGTTGAGGCCTTGCTTGGCCGACCCCAGCTGCAGCTGCTATTCCCAACGTAGCAGCTGGCTGTTTGCGTCTCGCTCGTCGCTATTGTCTCTCGTCTACTCCCTATCTGCGCCCGATTCTCTTCGTCGTCACACTGTCTATCTAGGAATGGACAGTTATTAATTTCAGTGTTTTGGGCGGTCTCCCATCTTTTTTCCCCGGCGGCTTTCGCCACACCAATATTTTCACTTTTGAGCGGAATAACCACAGCTTTCGATCGACGGCCTTGAAATGGAAGGAATTAGCGTAGCTTAGTTGAGATTGGTGGACACAGGGCCTTATGCATTTTTGTTTGACTCTTATTAAGTATCGTTAACAATAGGCCAAGCTTTTCGTCGAAGTGAGACGTAAATCCCGTCACTGAGGTCGCGTGGTGGCATAACACCCCGTTGAAACCAGTGCTCGAACCACGATTATGCCAGTGGGGTCAAGAGCACGTGATGCTTCAACTGATTACCTATTGCTAGTGAAGTTACGTTAACTCAAAAGAGGTTAGAATCCGGCTAGGTTTTAGTACTAAGCATTAGAAGTGTAGGGCAGTAGCGCGCAAAAATCTTGCTGCTCTCGTTCAGACTGGTTATGTTCAGGCCACGTCAGACGCTGCTAGACATCAGCTCAGTCCTGCCGTATCTTCAAGCGTTCCAAAGTTCGAAGCCATACTTGGGAAGAAAGCAGTATCGGTCAAAGAAGCCGTTCGGGCGCAATTCTCGAAAGACGAAGGCCACTTCTTGTAAGTCCCAGCCGTTCCGTTAGTTATGAGCTCCAATACTTCGTAGCAGTAAGAAATGTGAAAGTTGGAAATGGGAAATTTGACGAGAAGGGAAGAACGGCGAATAGCTCATGGAGGTCATGGACAGTCCTAGGGTGAAGCTCCACTACATGCTAATGTGTAGGCTCAACACCGCTTGAGCAAGAAGTGAGACGTCTCATCTTAAGGTAGTCGAACCAAATATTAGCTAGGTGTGAGAGCGACTCAGTGTGTATTGCAACGAACGGTATGCCCAGCGGCCGAGCCGTGCCGCTCGCGCGCTGACCGCCCACCCCACCACCTGCCTCGCAGTTTGACTCTAGCCGTTTAAGAGAGAGAGCGTTAGCGATTGAAGAGGGCAGCACAATGAGAGTCGCATCAATGCGGAAATCAACGGGCAAGGAAGGGGTCCCATTTCTCGGGTTCTGAGCCGTTTCTCATGTTTTTTCTTCATCCCTGCACCGGTGTCCACCTCTGCTTGAGGCTGGATGGGCTTATTAGGTACCGGATATCTTAGTGTCGCTTTTCTGAGTTCAGGAAGTTTTGGGGCCGATTACTATGGAAAATCAATATCCAGAAGTCCTTTTTGCTCATTAATACTGCGAAATATGTTGCTTATTGTTGGTTCACAATTTAACTTTCCGCCAATTTTT